CCCCGTCTCCCCGTTGCCCGCCGGTGCGGCTGAGATGGCGGGGCCTTCGGAGCCTGGCCCTCAACCAGATTTCCCATTGTCACCAGGACTTCCCCATCCTGTGCCAGACGTGTCTTGGAGAAAACCCGTATATCCGCATGGTGAGTGAGGGTGTGTGAAGCGGGGTTGTTGGCATTCTGTCTACGTGGTGGTCCCTGCACACGGTCCGCGAAGTGCTGCTCCCAGCCGGCGGAAGTAACGGTGCTCCTGTACCAGCCGCGTCTCTGACAGTTTACAGAGGACTGACATGCTTATTCTGTCGCTTTGAAACGCAGACAGTTCCGTGATGTAGGAGTCATATAATAGAGCTTGGGTTTGTTGAGCATTCACCTGGGAGATGGATCTATTAACCAGAAGCGGGGTTTATGTCTGTTCATTTAGAAAGTCATGAGTGGGGCTGGGATTTAAATTCATATGGTCTCACTCCAGGGACCTCAGCAAGTTCGGAGACACAGGACTGGAAGCTGGGTGTCCTTGCTCCTAAACAAACGCCTCTTGGCCACCGCACCGTGTCTGTCTCTTTAATGTCAGGTGTTCCCTGTCATCACAAATAAGGGTTAAATTCGTTACCAGTGAATAGTAATCAGGACTGTGTTATTGGGATCCGTCCCAGGTGTTGACAGGTTGATTTGTGCAAGATGTTGAATAGCTTATGGAAGGGAACGTTTACTATATGCAGGATATCCGCACAGTCTGTGCTAGTTACTTTCGGACTAAACTTTGTAAAAGATGGGTTGGCCATGGCTACATCCTTCCTGAATCAGGAACTGTGGGAACAGTTAGGGCAGTGGTTCTTAACCTTCCTGATGCCGCGACCCTTTAACACAGTTCCTCATCTTGTGATGACCCCCAACCATAAAGTTATTTTCGTTGCTACTTCATAACTGTAATGTTGCTACTGTTATGAATCGTAATGTAAATATCTGATATGCAGGATGTATTTTCATTGTTACAAATTGAACATAAGTAAAGCATAGTAACTAATCACAAAAACAATATGTAATTATATATTCAATATGTGTTTCCCGATGGTCTTAGGATGGTCTTAGGCGACTCCTGTGAAAGGGTCGTTCGACCCCCAAAGGGGCCGCGACCCACAGGTTGAGAACCGCTGAGTTAGGAGGTTTCGTTCTTGAGAGACAGTGGTGAGCCTGAAAGTTGTGGCTGTTTAAAGACACATGCTACTTGGTGTTACATCCATAAGATTCTTTTTTAAAAAAAAAAAATATTTTATTGATTTTTTTTACAGAGAGGAAGGGAGAGAGATAGAGAGTTAGAAACATCGATGAGAGAGAGACATCGATCAGCTGCCTCCTGCACACCTCCCACTGGGGATGTGCCCGCAACCCAGGTACATGCCCTTGACCGGAATCGAACCGGGGACCCTTCAGTCCGCAGGCCGACGCTCTATCCACTGAGCCAAACCGGTTTCGGCCCATAAGATTCTTAAGAGGTTAGAACTCATAGTCGGTGATTAGAATTTATACCCCCCCTCCCCCACACACCCTTTGGGATGCCACACACACTTCCTGGGTTGTACTGGGGGAAGAAGCAAACATCTAGTCTTTTTTTTTTCCTGGAACTCCAGTTCTTTTCTGTTTGTTTTTTTCTATTTCAGACCAAAGAAAAGTACGGGAAGGAATGCAAAGTAAGTATGTCTGTTAAAGAGTAATTATTTCATTTTATTTTCCTTTTTTCTACCAAATTAGCTTTCAACTTGCTGAGCTTTGAGGTCTTCCAGTAAAAGTCAGTGCTACGCAACTTTCATATATCATTTATGTACTCATTGGCTGTTAACTGTTTAGTGTGTGAGGTAAGAAAATGAGCCCTTCAATATAGGGGTTCTTAACCTGGTGTCTGTGGATGGGCTTTGAACCCCCTGAGATTGTATACCAAGTGTTGATTGTGCACATGAGAATTTTAGCTGCGGCGGAAGATCACAGCTGTCATAAGATTCTCAAAGGAGTATATGACACTCCCCACTCACCCCGAAAAGGATTAAGGGTCACATTATTAATGGGGTGGAGAGGACTGAAAATTCCTCTTTCTGTACTATGTGAATTTTTTACTACTGGGGCAGAGTGCTGTAAATATGATTGAAATATCAAATGGCATTTAAGCTAGATGATTGCTAAGGTTTCTTGTAAACCCTAGATTTGGGGATCCTTTCTTTGAATCCCCCGTTGTTATTAAGTCTGGATTCATTGTCCAGGTCAGGACGATTCACACTCTGTGGCTCTTATTTTCTGTTAAAGATCTGTGCCAGGCCATTCACAGTGTTTCGCTGGTGCCCCGGAGTCCGCATGCGTTTCAAGAAGACTGAAGTGTGCCAAACGTGTAGTAAATTGAAGAATGTCTGTCAGACTTGCCTCTTGGATCTGGAGTATGGTATGTTTGCCCTGTCCAATAAATCTGAAAGTATGCAGGTGCCCTAGACAACAAACCAGTCTTTTCACCTCCCATGTCTACCCTACCTCTGTTCTGACCCCAGTTTGGAATGTATGCTGTGGTCTGCTTTTTCTTGTAAGGGGAGAACCACACTAGGTGATCCTAGAGAACTCCTGAACAGCAGTAGGAACGTAGAGAAAAGTTGGGAATTAATTAGAACTATTCTAAAACTCCCTTATGTGCATCTGTAGTCAAGGGGAGGTAAAGGCCTTGTTTCTATGGTAGGTAATTTCTTTGCCTTGGGCTTCTTTCTAGATACAAAGCTTTTTTCCACAGTTCCTACCAGATGCTCATGGGCTAATCTTGCTTTAGGTTTTTGTCTCAACTGTATTGTTAGGACTGATATGCTGCCACTGTTTCAGAGTAAGTGCTTTTTTTTCTTAACTGAAAGTGACTTGTTTATGAGAAAATACTTTTTCCACAGAGTTTCTGCTGTACGGTAAAAGGAAAACACAAGTTTTTATATGTTAAATTCAGAAAGCTGCTCTGTTTCTCAGTTCTGGTCACAGTATTGCTATTATTTTTTAATATTTTTATTGATTCCAGAGAGAAAGGGAGAGGGGGAGAGAGAGAGAAACATCAATGATGAGACAATTATTGATTGGCTGCCTCCTGCACACTCCCTACTGGGGATTGAGCTCACAACCAGGGCATGTGCCCTTGACCAGAATTGAACCTGGGACCCTTTAGTCCACATGCCGCTGCTCTATCCACTGAGCCAAACCAACTAGGGTCCTGGTCACCTATTTATATGTTTGTTAAGGAGAGGTTCTGGTCCTATAATCCAATGACCCCATATATGACCATGACTATCCAGACAATCTGAGGACTAACCTAAAATGAACCACTTTTTGCATTTATTTAAAATATGTTTTTATTGTTTTTTTGTGTGTTGGGTTTTTTTTTTGTTTTTTTTTTTGAGAGCGAGAAAGGAAGAGAGAGATAGAAACATCAATGAGAGAGAACATTGATCAGCTGCCTCCTGCACGCCCCCTACTGAGGATTGAGCCCGCAACCTGGGCATTGAACCCATCATCTCTTAGCTCCTGGGTGGACACTTAGTACCTGGGACAATGCTCAGTCCACTGAGATACACCGTCTGGGCTAGATACATTATTAATTTCAAGTCAAATCTGACTATACCCAAAGTTTGTTCATCTAAAAAATTTTCTAAAACATTTGTTTCAGAATCATGCTGGCTCAGGAATTAGGACAATTTCTTAGAATGCTCCATAGCAGTATTTGCCTGATGGTGCTAAATATTTTCAGTAAAAATACAGTAAAGCCTCTGGTACTAAATAAGAAAGTGGAAAAAGGATGATACTGTATTCTGTGTGTATATTCAGCAGTGTTTTTAAATATGCCTGTTTTTCCTCCTTTCCTTTGTACCAGGCCTGCCCATCCAGGTTCGTGATGCAGGGCTGTCTTTTAAGGATGACATGCCAAAATCAGATGTCAACAAAGAGTACTACACACAGAATATGGAGAGGGAGGTATGCTGCCACTTGCTTGAGGTAGTCTTTTATTTGGTAAAAGAATCCTAGTGGATTGACACAGTTTATATAATTTATCTTTTGAATTTGCCATCCCTGTGTGTAGATTTCTAACTCTGATGGAACACGGCCAGTTGGCATGCTGGGGAAAGCCACATCCACCAGTGACATGCTGCTCAAACTGGCCCGGACCACACCTTACTACAAAAGGAATCGACCCCACATTTGCTCCTTCTGGGTGAAAGGAGAATGTAAGAGAGGAGAGGAATGTCCATACAGGTAAGAGCTGAAGTGCGTTTTCAGTATTTGCTTTCAGATGATTAGTCATCTAAGAAGTGGGAGGTGCTAGTTTAAACAATCTCTGCCTTAAAATCTCAAAGTATGTACAACTAGTGTGGTATATCTCATATCTTAAGACTGTTAAATTTAGAAAAGCTTGATTAAAGTGTTTTTACATGTAATGGAGCTTTTACTTATAACTGAGCGTTGGGAAGCTAAATTACTGTGCTGTATAACACAGATGTTTACCCTGAGTTGTAAGTCTTCACTATTATGGTCTCACTGGCTTGAATTTCAATGGGTTGATGAGGTCACATTAAGGCCAGGCATCTAAGGGTGTGTGAATATGTTTCCATCAGGACTGCCAAGCATGTGGATTAGGAGCTCTTAACTTGGGGTTGGTTAATCTCACCCCCACCAAAAAGATTATTTCGTTTTCTAGGCCTGGGTCCATAGCTTTAATCAGACTCTGAGTGGAATGCAAGACCTCAAATATGTTAAGAACCATTGACCTTGAGAGAGATAATGATGTTTTGGTTACCTTTTGTTTCGGGGTGAATTGTGCCAAAAGTATTCCTAAGGAAACTGCCGCCCTAGACCGTCATTTCAATGGGTTTCAGGAGGCTGGAAAGTCCTTGTAATACAGTAAATCACTTGATATCAGCTCTTTATCAATAATTTTGTCTTGGTGTGACCAGGGTTTTAGTTTAAAAGGCATTTCTGGGTATATATTTGGGTGTAGTTACTGTTGGGTGATACCTATAAATTGTTTTGTTTCATCTTTATGCATTGTTCTTTCTTGAACTATAGACATGAGAAGCCTACAGATCCAGATGACCCCCTTGCTGATCAGAACATTAAAGACCGATATTATGGAATCAATGACCCTGTGGCAGATAAGCTTCTAAAGCGGGCTTCAACAATGCCTCGTTTGGACCCGCCAGAGGACAAGACTATCACCACACTATATGTTGGTGGTTTGGGCGATACCATTACTGAGACAGATCTAAGGTTTGTGGATATAATTTTATGAGCTCTTTTTGCTTTTAGCTGTCTTGGAATAGCTTGTGGGGGGCAATAACAGGCAAGCATGATGATCCTTTAAAAATACATTTTTCTTTAATTAGTTTATAGTCAGTAAATATGCCGACTAGAATTTTTATAAAATTGTTCTTTACGATGCCAGAGTAGTAATGTTCATCAATAGTGCTTAGTCCATTCTTGCATGTGGTGATAATCACATGAGATTCTATTTGGCCTAATAGCCAAATAGAGTTTTTAGAATAGGGCACACAATCAAGTAGGCTTACTTATGTAGGGGAAGGGAAGTTTTGCCATTATAAGACTCTTATGGTTTAAGTTGTTGGCTTTTTAAAGAGATTGGCATTTGGTAAATTTGTATGATTCTCAGCTTGTATTTTAGTCAGCTAAATGAGACATCTGGGCAGAGAGTGGAAATACCTCTCCCAAAGAGAGAAAGTGGTAAAGAAACTCCTATAAGTTTATAAGCTGCCTTGGTAGCCTGTCTTCACTACACCCTAAGTGAGCTAGACAGTCTCCAGGGGGTGGCAGGCTCTTCTCCTTCTCTTCCTCTTTTTACAACCTTTTAAAACATTTCTTTAAACATTCTTGGCTCGTGGGCCATGGGGGCTATAGTTAGCCATCCCCTTATCTAGGGTTTAGGGTCCTTAAGGAACTTACTTGGGCCCCCTTTCCTCCATGGGGAAGACCCTGAGATGTTGAATAAAATTTATTTGTCCATTATTTTTCTTTTCCTCTCAATACGCAGCCTCATAGTATGTAAGGTATTGGGGAAACTACCTGCAGGTAGTTAGGGAGATAACCAGGGGGCCATGTACTTTGTGGTGAGTCAGTACAAGAGTGATTAGCCTGCTGTCACCCTCCTGGGAACGTGTGTGTTGTTATCATTTTTCTCTGCCTGTATCCCTTCAGAAATCATTTCTACCAGTTTGGAGAGATTCGGACGATCACTGTGGTGCAGAGACAGCAATGTGCTTTCATCCAGTTTGCCACAAGGCAGGCTGCTGAAGTGGCTGCGGAGAAGTCCTTTAATAAGCTAATTGTCAATGGCCGTCGACTTAATGTGAAATGGGGAAGGTGAGGATAGACTGTTTTAAAATATCTTTGAGATTTTTAAGAAAACTGTTCCATTACCTGGGGCTAGTGAGCTTTTGGTGAATGGGTCAAAAAGAATATTTCCTTATCTATCTAACATTCATTCCTGTGGAAGTTCAGAGTATCCTGTTTTGAACTGTTATTCTGGGTTTTGGTGTAGTAATCTTTGAGGGTTCATGTGTTTTGTGACCAGTTATTTTAGGCTAAGTATAATGCCAGGGCCTGAAGGTGGATACAAATGAATTAGACCAGATTCTGTCTTCTAGAGGCTGACTGCCCAGTGGAGAAAAAAACTAATTTAGGTTTGAAAGTGATGAAATGCCCTGAAAGTTCAAAGGGGAACATGTTTCTCACCGGGAGCCACGGAAAAGATTGCTGATAGTAGCAGCAACCCTTATGGAGAGCTTCCTGGGTGCTAATTAGGCTGTGTACTAAATATACATAGGTTGCCTCTTCTAGTCCTTATAATAGTTCCAGCAAGTTATGAACCCAGGTGTTTCTGGCTTCAAAACATTTGGTCATGCCAAGCTGGCATGGCTCAGTGGTTGAGCATCGACCTATAAACCAGGAGGTCATGGTTCGATTCCTGGTTAGGGCACATGCCCATTTTGTGGGCTAGATCCTCAGTGGGGCGTGCAGGAGGCAGCCGATTAATGGTTCTCATCACTGATGTTTCTATCTATCCCTCTCCCTTCCTCTCTGAAATCAATCAAAATATATTTTAGAAAAAAGCAAAACAAAAACCCTTTGATCTTATCCACTGCACTGACATTTAAAGGGAAAAAGTGGGGTAAGGAGTGAAGAAACTCCATTTGACTAGGAAGCCTGAGAAGTAGAGGTGTGAGAGAAGGGGCACAGTGCTGATGTGTATGTCTGTCTCTCAGGTCCCAAGCAGCCCGAGGAAAAGAAAAAGAGAAAGACGGAACCACAGACTCTGGCATCAAGCTGGAGCCTGTTCCAGGCCTGCCAGGAGGTGAGTGCTGGCTTTCTTGCTAGCGACAGATGCTCTGATGATCCCTGAGTGTTGGAAGAGACCCACGTCTCTGGCTCCGGCAACAGCTCTGTCTCCCCTCAGAACTCCCAAATTTAAAGGCAGTGGAAACAACATTGCACAGTTGTCTTCCCTTCTAACTGTTGGCTCTGTTCTCTCCTCCAGCTCTTCCCCCTCCTCCTGCAGCTGAGGAAGAAGCCTCTGCCAACTACTTCAACCTGCCCCCCAGTGGCCCTCCAGCTGTGGTGAACATCGCCCTGCCGCCACCCCCTGGAATTGCCCCACCCCCACCCCCAGGTAACTTCTACCTTCCTTCTTAGTAAATAAGTCTGACTTAGCCCTAAAAAGTTCTTTTGAAAGTCATGTCTATTGGTCTAAATCAGGGGTGGGCAAACTTTTTGACTCGAGGGCCATAATGGGTTCTTAAACTGGACCGGAGGGCCGGAACAAAAGCATGGATGGAGTGTTTGTATGAACTAATATAAATTCAAAGTAAACATCATTACATAAAAGGGTACGGTCTTTTTTTTTGTTTTATTCATTTCAAATGGGCCGGATCCGGCCCGCGGACTGTAGTTTGCCCATGGCTGGTCTAAATCCTTTGAGTTTGTCTCATAGAATCCTCAAGTAAATCTGATTAGTTAGGATTCCTGATATTTCTTTTTTTCCCTGGCCTGGAGAGGAAAGTCACCAGTTTTCTAAAGATCTGAGTATATTTAAAATCAGAATAGGAGTTCATCGATTACAGTGACATATGGCCAGTTTGTTCCCTGTTCTAATGGAATCCTGATGCCCTAGAACACCACTGCTTAAAGTGCAGGTTGTGGACGTCCACCAGTTCACAAAGTGTTGTTATCTGTATACAAAGATAAGGAGCTTGTGCCAGAATGTAAATGAAAGTCTTGATATAAAAAATTATAAGACAAACTAAACAGTGTGCTTGGTTGCGTAATTAGTTACATTTGGCTCACAGTCTTTACCTTGGTGGTGGCCAGGAGTACACAGTTGAAGAACTGGCAGTTTGTATAGTGCTGCTCTAGAAAATGTCAGTGTGGTTCAGTGGTTAAGTGTCGACCTATGAACCAGGAGGTCACGGTTGGATTCCCAGTCTCGGCACATGCCCGGGTTGCAGGTTTGATCCCCAGTTTGGGGCATGCAGGAAGCAGCTGATCAATGAATGAATCTCTCTCATCATTGATTTTTCTATCTTCCTCTCCCTTCCTCTCTAAAATCAATAAAGTAACATTTTTTAAAAAATGTCAGTGACAGTGTGAACAGTGTAAGTCACAGGTGGCCAGTGCCCCTGTGGCAGAATTCCCATACTCTTTGAAGGAAGTCCTGGTTTAGAACACCCTCCATTCTAATATAAACCATTGAGTTTAATGATGACAGGGTCTTTCATCATTTGATTCCATCAAATCAGGGTCAGCCTGATTTCTTCCTCATCTCCCAGATCCCGAGGAATCCTGCTTGGCAGGATTGGCATGTTTGATAGCTAGCAGGGGCTCAGATGACATATTATCAGATACCTTGAGTCCTGTGGAATTTTCTGTTAACCTGGACTGAGAGGAATGGATTCTCAAACCAAGGAAGTAATACAGGGAGACATTTCTAAGCAAGTCTTATGAACTGACCTTTTCTGAAGCTCCTTGTCATTTGGTTTATGTGCAAGTGGTGTTGACCTTAGAAAGATGCAGAGGTTTGAAAGGTGGTCAGGGGAACTGCAAGTCTAACATATTTATTCTCTCATCTGCAGGTTTTGGGCCACATATGTTCCACCCAATGGGACCACCTCCTCCTTTCATGAGGGCTCCAGGACCAATCCACTATCCTTCTCAGGACCCTCAGAGAATGGGAGCTCATGCTGGGAAACACAGCAGCCCCTAGCACATTTTCACCATTCTGGGGCTCTACAGAAGACAGGGCGCTTAAAAATCCCAGTAAACGAATCTTGGAATAAATATATTTTTCCTTCCTTTTATGTGCATTATGTATTTCCCTTTTTATCATCTAAAAAAAGATTACTAGTACTAATCATTGTAGTGGCATAAATGTGATTTAACACTTCTGAAGTCACACCCTCAGAAAGACAAGTGGAATCCAGCAGGCAGCTCTGCCCAGGTCTCTACTTAACCTCGCCTTCCCTCATTGATGGCTAAAGGAATCTGGCTGATAGTTGTACTTCTCTACGCTACCAAAAGAGACAACAATAAAAATTACTTTGTATTCCTTTTGGATGGAAACAAATGTCATGAAGCTGCGTATCATTGAAGAAACCTGGTGTCTAGGATGAAATTATTTTAAAGAACTTCCTGTAAAACACTTTAATAGACTGAAACGAAAAGCTTTGGAGTGTGTTTGAATGGAAGACTTGTGACCTCGGCTGGAACTTTGATCTTCAGCATTCACCTTCATGTGTCTCATTTTAATACCCCGCTCTGGGCAGGGAACTCTGTTTGGTCTTAGGATGTTTGGATATAACTGAATTGTAGATGGTAAAACATAATTTGATGTTGTGTTGTGTTTTATTTTTTTGTTTTTAAAAAATTAAAACGGGTAAATTTTCCAAATGTCATGGGCTTATTTCTAGATTTCTGTTTTCTTTATCCATTGGTAGATGAACTGGGGTTAATGGAAGTTAAAACAAGCTATATATAAATGTAAATTTTTGCTTTAGACTTAATTTTTATCTCTGTCCACTCTGATGATAAAAAGGCCCACAGCCAGCAGGTGGTTGATAAATGGTAACTTTAAAATCATTCTCATATATAAGTCATTGGAAAAGGAAATGCAAAATTTATGTACAAATCCCTTTTTTCTGAAGCCAAAATTCCATGTCATTTTAATTGAAAATATGTATTTATGGGATGGACATACTCCATATAACACCATTGCTTCACTGGAGAATTTTTGTTTGACTCTAGAGCAGCGGTTCTCAACCTGTGGGTCGCGACCCCCTTGGGGTCGAATGACCCTTTCACAGGGGTCGCCTAAGATCATCGGAAAAAAACACATAATTACGTATTGGTTTTGTGATTAATTACTATGCTTTAATTATGTTCATTTTGTAACAATGAAAATACATCCTGCATATCAGATATTTACATTACGATTCATAACAGTAGCAAAATTACAGTTATGAAGTAGCAACAAAAATAATTTTATGGTTAGTCACCACAACATGAGGAACTGTATTAAAAGGTCACGGCATTAGGAAGGTTGAGAACCACTGCTCTAGAGGGTTTTGCGTTGTTTTTTTAAAAAAGATAAAAATTAGAAACACTGCAAAAATTTGATTTTATTTCTAGGAATATAGGGTACTTTCAAATATTTTGACACCATTTTGGGTAGGGTTTTGGGTTTGGGGTTTTTTTTGTTTACTTTTGAGCATATAGATGATTTTAACTTTTGTGAATAAGAGATGAATCATGTAGTGTTTTAATTGCCAAATTTGATAGCTATATACGTATATATATTTATATATATATGCATAAGTAAATGTATGACTATCCAATCGTATATTGCCTTTTTGAGAAGGAAGATATTCTAAATTTTGTGCACTGTCTGGCAATGGATATATACATATTTTTTGAAAAGCATAAGGCAGTGTAAATTGAAGTGTAGAATAGTTGCTCAATTAGTGTTTCTTAAGTCAGAATTATGAGCAATTAGATTTTGGCAAAAATAGGTGCTCACCAAACTCCATTTCTTTCTCTTCTAGGGCACACAGCTGGGGGTACCCTGGTGAGAAGTAACCTTTGCCATTCCCAGACCTGGTCTGTGACATCTCACCCAACCCTATGAGCTCTCCCTCCTTGCCCCCCCGCCCTTCCCAATCTGCTGGTTAAATGTGCAGGTCCATCTCTGGAAGGTGGCAGTCACACAGCAAAGGGAGTGGGTTTTCCTGTCACTGCGTTGAGGGAGAGCACTGTTATCTGAGGATTCCATTGAGACCTGGGGACTTTTCTGTTACAGCAGCTAGTGTTCCTCTCCTGAGATGTAGTCAAACCTGATCATAAAATTTTTTTAAACTCATTTTTGTTTATACTAAGTAATGGTTGAAACAGAACCTAGAGCCAGATTACCTGATTTCAAATCCTCATTTCAGCACCTCCCGGATGTGTGACCTTGGTCATGTTACTTATCTCTGTTGAATCAATGCCTCACCTAACCCTTCTCACTACCTGTTATTTTGAGCTGCTCCCCTCATGGAGAAGGCTCAGAAGGAATCGCATCATGACAGCTGAAGTGACTGCCCATGGGGCAAAGAGTGATGTGACAGATTTTTGGAAGGCAAATTATAGGGAGACACTGAACCTGAAGTAAATGGAGGTGAAAGAGAGGGGGTCTAGAGTGACCTCTGTCCCCAGGTCTCTGGCTTGATCACTGGTTAAGGTGATGTCGCAGGTTTCTTGGTAAAGGTAATATTTTCCCTTGCTATGCTCTATTCTTGGAAACCAATAAGCCCAGTCTAATCAGTAGGAGGGGAATTACGACCCTCCTCTGGGTGGGGGGATTATCTATATGTATTTAGAAGTCTAAAAAAGTAAGGCTTGTCCCTTTCCCCCTTTATTGAGTCATTTATTTACATCACTGTGGATTCATGGATGTTTATTCTCTGAGGTATAATCCTATCCTGTGAGTTGCCTTTCACTTTCTTGACAGTGTTCTTTGATACACAAAAGTTTTTAATTTTGTGTGTTCATTTTTTAAGTGTTTCATAGGTAATTGAAAATAATGAGTATTCTCTAATTTGCTGGTACAGGATTCTACATTTTTATTTTCAAATTTTCTATATCTTTACTCATCTGTTTGATAACTGGTCAATAATTTAAAAACTCTATTAAATCTTCCATTATGAATATAGGTTTATCATTATATAAAGATTCTTATCACAATAATACTTTTTGTCAGAAAGTCTTACTTTGCTAGTAATATGGCTAGAACACATTTCTTTTTAAAAAATTTATTTTCCAATTATAGTTGATATATTAGTTTCAGGTGTACAACATAGTGACTAGATCACCTCAGTAAGTTTAGTATCCATCTGGCACAATATATAGTTATTACAATAGTATTGAATAAATTCCTTAGGCTGTACTTTATGTCCCCATGATTATTTTTATAACGGCAATTTGTACTTCTTAATCCCTTTCACTTTTTTTGCCCATCCACCCAGTCCCCCTCCTATTTGGTGACCATCAGTTTTTTCTGTAGATATGAGTTTGTTTCGTTTTGTTTGTCCATTTACTTTGTTTTTTTAGATTCCACACATAAGTGAAATCATCTGGTATTTGTCTTTCTCTGTCTGATTTATTTCACTTAGCTTGGGTCAATCCACCCATTGTTGCAAATGACAAGATTTCCTTCTTTTTTATGGCTGAATAATATTCTGTTGTATATATGCACCACCTCTTTATTCACTTCTCCATTGATGGACACTTAGGTTGTTTCCATATCTTGGCTATTGTAAATAATGCTGCAGTGAACATAAGGTTGCATATATCTTTTTGAATTTGTGGTTTGGATTTCTTTGGATATATACCCAAGAAGTGGAATTGCTAGATTAAACGGTAGTTCTATTTTTAATTGAGGAGCCTCCATACTGCTTTCCATAGTGTCTCTACCATTTTATAATTTCACAAACAGTGTATGAGAGTAGAACACATTTCTTTTTAAAAAAAATATATCTTTATTGATTTCAGGGAGAGAGAGAAACATCAATGATGAGAGAGAATGATTGGTCAGCCACCTATTGCACGCCTCCCACCGGGAATTGAGTCTGCAACACAGGCATGTGTCCTGACCGGGAATAGTACCATGACCTCCTGGTTCATAGGTCGACGCTCAACCACTGAGCACAACTGGCTGGATAGAACACATTTCTTTGGGATTGTATTGGACTGATTTATCCTTTCCCATTTCTTTATTTTATTTCTGTGTTATGTTTTTAGGAGTGCGGCTTGTGAATAGCATGGAGCTGGAATTACTTATCCGATCTGTGAATCTGTCTTTAAACTGGTGAGTCCTATACATCTATATCTGTTGTGATAACTGATATGGTCGAATGTATTTATATCGCTTTATTTTATTTGTCTTTGCTTCTTTTGCATCCTTTCTGCTGCCTATAGAATTGATTTCTCTGCTTACTGTTGCTTCTTAAATTCTATGCTTTCTTTCTGGATCCTCCCCAAAATAAGGTTCTTTTGTAGTTCTTGCAGGGGTAAGTGGAAAACTCTTTAATATTTATTTGTCTGAAAATTTATTTATTTGGCTCTTCTTGAAGATTTTTTTTTTCATCTAAGTGTTCTTCTTTTGTAGGTAATCTAACTTTTTTGTCTGGGTGCCTTTGACATTTCTCTGTGACTTTGGAGTTGTATAATTTTAGTATAGTGTTTCTGAAATACGGATTTAATTTACCCTCATACAGGGTGAGGACTATGTGAGTTTATGTTTTTCATCAAGTCTGAGAAACCCTCAGTCATTTTTACAATCCTTCTGTAACTCCTGGTGGTAGTGTTGAGCATTTTAATTTTATTTTCCATGTCTTTTAACTTTTTTCTCTCACGTTTTCCATTTCTTTACTTCTCTGTGATACATTATGGGCACTTTTAGTTTTTTCTTTTTTAAAATCTTTATTGTTGAGAGTATGACATATGTCCCCTTTTTCCCCCATTGACCCCACTTATCCCACTCTACCCCAGGCCTTCACCACCCTATTGGCTGTGTCCATGGGTTATGCATATATGCATACAAGTTCAGATGTATCATTGCCAAATATATTCTACCATACTGTGGGCTCCCTTTTCATTTTCTTTTGCTGTGCAGAAGCTTTTTATTTTGATGTAGTGCCTCCTTTGTCAAATATTAATTGAGTGTAGTGCCTTGGGTTGATTTCTGGGGTCTCTTTCCAGGGGGGAGTGGGCCTAAGCCGGCAGGCGGACATCCCTCTCACAGTCAGGGACCCCTCGCTCCTTACTGCCCGCCTGCTCGCTGCTCCTTACAGCTTGGCTCACTGCTCCTTAGTGCTGCTGTGGAGGCTGGTGAGGCTCCTGCCTCCGCCAGTGAGCCAGCTTCTGGCTGAGCAGTGCTCCCCCTGTGGGAGCACACTGACCACCATAGTGACTGGTTGTTCTGGTTGTTCCACCGTAAGGGCTGCTTAGGCTTTTATTATATAGACTAGAGGCCTGGGGCACCAAAATTTGTGACC